CTTACAGAGTAGCACAGAACAGGGACTTCCCTGGTGGATCAACAGTAAAGAAGCTGCTGTCAATGCAGGAGATACAGGTTCAATCCCTGGGTCAGGAAGATCCCCTGGAGAAGGGAATGGCGACCCACTCCATACCCTTGCCTGGAGAATTCCATGGACAGAGCATTCTGATGAGCCACAGTCCATGGGGCCGCAAGGAGTCGGACATGGCTGAGAGACTAACACTTTCCCTTTGCACCACTTTTCCCCAGTTCACCGCAGTCTCTGCCTACTGGTCCTTCCTGCACGTGACCTTGACTTCTGAGGTGCAGTTCCTCCCCTCTTGGTGTTAATGATTGGTGACAGCTACAGATAACACTTGAGCAAAGATCCTGTCCTCTCAGTTCTGGGCTGCCCTCCCCCTTAAAGGGGCAGAAGCAATGGCTTTGGGGATGATGATGTTGTAGGAACAGGATGTCTGGTCTTGAGGAGGGGCAGCATGACAGGTGAGGAAGGATTCGGTGTTTGTGGTTAGTGGGTCAGAGTTCACAGCTTACAATCTTCCCCTTGCTCACTCTTGATAGCTTATTTTCAGAGGAGTCAACACATCAGACATCATGTGAGAAAACCCGGGGTGTTTCCATAGAACCAGCAGAAAGAAATTGTTTGGCAGGTGCCGCCCCAGCTAAGTCACCAGGTTAGCTCTCCAGGCAAATGAGGCCACCATCACAGGTTTCATCCCTCGTTAGGGAAGACTGGTTCACAAATTGAAAAGTCTACTGTTTTCATCGGGAGTCCTGGCACTATTTGGTCTCCAAAATCACTGTGGACGGTGACTGTAACCATGAAATTAAAAGACACTTGCTCCTTGGAAGGAAAGTTGTGACAAATATTTTTGTTGTTGCTGTTGTTCAGCTAAGTCATCTCTGACTCTTTGCGACCCCATGGACTGCAGCACACCACGCTTCCCTGTCCTTCACGATCTCCCAGAATTTGCTCAAACTCATGTCTGTTGAGTCAGTGATGCTATTCTACCATCTTATCCTCTGTTGTTCCCTTCTCTTGCCCCCTATCTCTCCCAGCATCAGGGTCTTTTCTAATGAGTTGGCTCTTTGCATCAGGTGGCCAATGTATTGGAGCTTCAACTTCAGCATCAGTCTTTCTAATGAATATTCAAGATTGATTTCCTGTAAGACTGACTGGTTTGATCTCCTTGCTGTCCAGTGTTAATCACACAGTTGTGTCTGACTCTTTGTGACCCCAGGTACTGTAGCCCACCAGTCTCCTCTGTCCATGGAATTCTCCAGGCAAGAATACTGGAGTGGGTTGCCATTTCCTTCTCCAGGGGATCTTCCCAACCCAGGGACTGAAACTGGGTCTCCTGCATTGCAGGCAGACTCTTTACTGATTGAGCCACCAGGGGGAGGATTGACTGGTTTGATCTCCTTGCAGTCCAAGGGACTCTCAAGAGTGTTCTTCAGCACCACAATCTGGAAGCATCAATTCTTTGGTCCTCAGCCTTCTTTATGGTTCAATTCTCACATCCATACATAACTATTGAAAAAACCATAGCTTTGACTATGCAGGCCTTTGTCAGCAGACTGATGTCTTTGCTTTTTAATATGCTGTCTAGTTTACTCATAGCTTTTCTTCTAAGAAGCAATTGTCTTTTAATTTCATGGCTGCTGTCACCATTCGAAGTGACTTTGGAGTCCAAGAAAATAAAATCTGTCACCAGTTCCACTTTACCCCTTCTTTTTGCCATGAAGTGATGGGATCGGATGCCATGATCCTCATTTTTGGAATGTTGAGTTTTTAAGCCAGCTTTTTCTCTCTCCTCTTTCACCCTCATCAAGAGGCTCTTTAGTTCCTCTTTTCTTTTTGCCATTAGAGTGGTATCATTGGCATATCTGAGGTTGTTGATATTTCTCCTGGCAATCTTGATTCCAGCTTGTGCTTCATTCAGCCTGGGATTTCACATGATGTACTCTTCATGTAAGTTAAATAAGCAGAGTGACAGTATACAGCCTTGACATACTTCTATCCCAGTTTTAACCAGTCGATTATTCCATGTTCAGTTCTAACTATTGCTTCTTGACCTGCATACAGGTTTCTCAGGAGGCATGCAAGGCGTTCTGGAATTTCCATCTCTTAAAGAGTTTTCTACAGTTTGTTGAGATCCACACAGTCAAAGGCTTTAGCATAGTCGATGAAGCAGAAATAGACGTTTTTATGAAATTCCCTTGCTTTTTCTATGATCCAATGGGTGTTGGCAATTTGATCTCTGGTTCCTCTGTCTTTTCTATATCCAGCTTGTACATCTGGAAGTTCTCAGTTCCAGTACTGTTGAAGCCCAGCTTGAAAGATTTTGAGCATTACCTTGCTAGCATGTGAAATGAGCACAATTACATGGTGGTTTGAGCATTCTTTGGCACTGCCTTTCTTTGGGATTGAAATGAAAACTAAACTTTTCCAGTCCTGTGGCCATTGCTGATTTTTCCAAATTTACTGACATATTGACTGCAACACTTTAACAGTATTGAAAGGTTGTTGCTGAATGATTAGACGCGGGATTCTTGGCCTCCGGAGGAGACGAATTCAATCCGGGGCCAGAGACGAGAAAAAATGTCTGGCACCTGCAGCCTCTTTTTTTCCATTTGGAGACCCCTGGCCTTCCTGCCTGTTACCCTCTCAGTATCATCTTTTAGGATTTGAAATAGTTCAGCTGGAATCCCATCACCTCCAACTAACTCTGTTCCTCATAATGCTTCTTAAAGCTTACTTGACTTCACACTCCAAGATGTCTGGCTCTAGGTAAGTGACCATACCACTGTGGTTATCTGGGTCGTTAAGACGTTTTTCGTATAGTTCTGTGTATTCTTGCCACCTCTTCTTAATCTCTTCTGCTTCTGTTTGGTCCTTACCATTTCTCTCCTTTATCGTATCCATCTTTGCATGAAATGTTCCCTTGATATCTCCAACTTTCTTGAAGAGCTATCTAGTCTTTCTCTAATCATAGGTTTCAGTGAAGCTATGAGCCACACCATGCAGAGCCACCCAAGGTGGACAGGTCATAGTGGACAGTTCTGACAAAACATCACCCACTGAGAAGGGAATGGCAAACCACCCCAGTATTCTTGCCTTGGGAGCCCCATGAAGGGTATGAAAAGGTAAAAACATATGACACCAGGAGATAAGTTGCCAGGCTGGAATGTGTTCAAGATGCTACTGGGGAAGAGCAGAGAAATAGTTGTTGAATAAATGAAGAGGCTTGGCCAAAGCAAAAACAACACTCAGATGTGGATATGTCTGGTGGTGAAGGCAAAGTCTCATGCTGTAAAGAACAATATTGCATAGGTACCTGGAATGTTAGGTCCATGAATCAAGGTGAATTGCATGCAGGCAAGCAGGAGATGGCAAGAGTGAACATTGACATCTTAGGAGTCAGGGAACTAAAATGAGATATCTGAGTTGCCTGTAAAATGGGAAAATCACTTTAAATCTTTAACAGCACAAGGGAAACAGCATGGTTGTTTCACTGGTGGGTCAACTGTTGGAAATAGAATCCGCTTGCTATTGGAAAATGGTGGCATATAATCTTGTCACTGCTAAACTGCTGACAATTACTAGGGAAGGTAAAAGTAGTCAATTTGCTGAGTCACATGTAGTATATCAGGCTCTAAAACAAGAGAATTTAACTGAATGTCATATATACACATTATTCCAATATTTTGGCCACCTGATGCAAAGGGCTGATTCATTAGGAAAGACCCTGATGCTGGGAGAGATTGAGGGCAAAAAGAGAAGAGGGCGATTGCCGGGAGCCAACACATGAGACCCTAACCATGACAAGGCCATGAGGGAGAAGACCTGGTGGGCAAGGCGGATCAGGTATTCAGGGGTTTCGAAAAGGCCAGCTCACGAGATCCCACCCATGACAAGGTCACGAGGAGAAAGCCTGACAGGCAAGGCGGATCAGGTGTTCAGGGATTTCAAAAAGCTGCCCTGGCGCTCACCTTAAAGATGATATCTGTCTTTCTGATGCCTGCCTCAATGGACTACTCTCTGATTTTTGTGCCACAGGCAGAAGGCCTTCCCCGATCTCTTCCCAAATAAGAATCAATTTAGAACTTTAATCAATAACTTTCCCAGGTGGTGGTATATTATGAGATTATCCAGGGTGAAACGAGTGTGTTAATTTAAACTCCTTTGCTGGTAGTTAGTTAGTCAAATGCATTTATGCCCTTGGTACTAATATGCATGATTGCTTATAATATCCTAATCATAAAATAGCATAAAGAACCTGATTATATAAAAGCCCTAATAGACAGAGAGCCTTTTTAAGGGGTAAAGGAGTCCTATTAGAAAACATAAGAAAAATTATTCTATAGGTGGTTATTGGGTTGAGATTTGTTTGCTGTGTTTTGCTTGCTGTGTTTTTGCTTTTAATGTGCTAAGGTTGTGTTATAGAAACCATTGTTAATATAGTTAAAGATCTAGAGAAATAAGAACTTAGCCCTAGTGTGGTAACAATGAGATGNCTCATTCTAATTTACCTGGACCCCTCCATACGTTTAACCAAGAGGTAGATTTGCTAACCCGAACCATAGTGGCCAGTGCTTTTGAGGATGCTAAAGCCTCACATGCTATGCATCATCAAAATGCAACTGCCCTTCGATATCAATTCCATGTTCCTAGGGAATATGCACGCGAGATCGTTAGGACATGTCAACTTTGCCCTACTTCAGTTCCCACTTTGCCTTTTGGGGTAAATCCCCATGGCTTACTACCTAAGGTGCTTTGGCAGATGGATGTAACACATGTTCCTTCTTTTGGAAAACTATCCTTTGTGCATGTTACTGTAGATACCTTCTCCCATGTCATTGTGGCTACTGCCAGAACGGGAGAAGCCTATAAAGATGTAGTTCAACATCTTTTTGCCTGTTTTTCCTACTTAGAAATGCCAAAATCAATTAAGACAGACAATGCTCCAGCTTATACATCTAAGTCCTTTAAAAATTACTGTGCCCAATTCGGTATATCCCACTCTATAGGAATTCCTTACAATCCCCAGGGACAAGCAATTGTAGAAAGGGCACATCAGACACTCAAAACACAAATCTCTAAATTACAGGAAGGGCAGTTCAAATAGTTCTCCACTCCACATTTTGCAGCATGCCCTCTTTGTGCTCAGTAACCTTAATGCTGATCAAGCCGGCTTAACAGCTATGTTCCGTCCCTGGAACCCAGAACAAAAAGACATGAAACCTTTAGTAAAGTGGAAAGACCTCCTTTCCGGACTATGGAAGGGACCTGATCCCTTGCTAACCAGTGGGCGAGGGTATGCTTATATTTTCCCACAGGGTGCTGACTTGCCAATTGAGATCCCAGGCAGACTGATTCGCCATGGCGCAGTCCCCCAGACCTCCGGTTCCCTCGCAGCCTCAACCATAAAGGAGGAGGAGCACTCCTCTGCCCTTACCTCGGCCTAGAAGGTCCAGCAGACTCTGAAACAACCGGCAACGGAGATCCCAGAAGAACAAATGGAAACCACCAGGACGTCCCGCGCGGGCGACTCAACAAGCCTCCATACCCACATGGGGGCAAGTTAAGTCACTCTGTCATCAAGCACAGGGACTAGCTTCCCTGCAGGGATCTTCAGCCTCTCCCGAAAGGGTTTTTATTGCCATGCTTGCTTTACGGTCTTGTCAGAACTCTCCGGCACAGCATTCAGAAGCTTGCGACTGAGATCCATCCGGCTGTCTTAAAAAGGTAAAAAAAGGGAGAGATGCCGGGAGCCAACAGGCTAGACCCTACCCATGACAAGGCCATGAGGGAGAAAACCTGGCGGGCAAGGCGGATCAAATGTTCAGGGATTTCAAAAAGCTGCCCCTGGCACTCACCTTAAAGATGATATCTGTCTTTCTGATGCCTGCCTCAATGGACTACTCCCTGATTTTTGTGACACAGGCAGAAGGCCTTCCCCGATCTCTTCCCAAATAAGAATCAATTTAGAATTTAATCAACAACTTTCCCAGGTGGTGGTATTTTATGAGATTATCCAGGGTGAAAGGAGTGTGTTAAACTCCTTTGCTGGTAGTTAGTTAGCCAAATGCATTTATGCCCTTGGTACTAATATGCATGATTGCTTATAATATCCTAATCATAAAATAACATAAAGAACCTGATTATATAAAAGCCCTAATAGACAGAGAGCCTTTTTAAGGGGTAAAGGAGTCCTATTAGAAAACATAAGAAAAATTATTCCATAGGTAGTTATTGGGTTGAGATTTGCTTGCTGTGTTTTGCTTGCTGTGTTTTTGCTTCTAATGTGCTAAGGTTGTGTTATAGAAACCATTGTTAATATAGTTAAAGATCTAGAGAAACAAGGACTTAGCCTTAGTGTGGTAACAATGAGATGGTTGTTAATTGTCAGCCAAGAGTGCTAGGCAGAAGCTGCCTCACCAAAGTCGCAGAGTCAGTATGGGGTAAACTTCTTAGATAAATGCAACGGACAACTTTTGCAGAACGATTAATTTTTGTATTAACAAGGATATAATTCTACTCTGTACTATTTCCCTATGAGACTACTACCTTTCAGTTAAGGTCACCATAGAAACAGAAAATAGGTTTACATTCACCTGACCTGCATAAAATGTTAATAGACCCCAAGGCCAAAAGAGAATGTACAAGACCCTCATAAACAAAGAAGTATGCAGAAAACACCCTGGTTTTGTGAAGGACAAGCTGATGTAATGTTAAACTATCTTCCCCTTAGAAATGTACTAACTTAGGGTATAAAACTATGGTAAAAAATAAAGCATTGCCAGACTCTGCCAGACCCTGTAAACACCCCCATCTGGTCATTCACTCTCTCTCCCTCTCTCTTTCTCTTTCTCTCCCTCGCAGACTTGGCCCTATTAAGGCTAGTCTCACGTGTCTTTTCTCTCTCTCGCCGATGCCGTTCATCCTAAGGGTACCCCCTGGATATTGCCGAGGCTGGACCCTGGCAAGTGGCGCCTGAACAGGGACCCGAAGGTAATCCCCCCATTGTTCAGTCTTCGGGACGGCTAGGACCCCAGTAGGACGCTGCAGGCCCCCTGCATAAGATAGTAGGGTGAGGAAAGTGGGTAGGCTTTAGGTTTCTTCTTTAAAACCCCACTAGGGTGCTACAGGCCCCCCTGCATAAGAAAGGTAGGGTAAGAAAAGCGGGTACGTTTCAGTTTCCTTCTTCTCTAAATTAAGCCTCTTCCTTTTTTCTCTTTTTTTCTTCTTCTAATTA